TTAGACACAGCCTTTGAAACATGGTCATCTCTCTGCCACCTTGGCTTCACTCATATCAATGAATGGCCAGTCAGAGTGATGTGAAGGTGATAATTTTGCCAACATTTCTTATCTAATTTTAAAAGGTAAATGACTGTGCTGTGCAGTTTAATTCCATAAATATTGTCACAGTTTGATCAAAGGTAGTATCTTCAGGTCTTGAGATCTTCCTAGGATTTTCAAATACTTCATTTAAGTCATTTATTCACAATAAGATAGTTGTAATCATCAGTTAATTATTGTTAAGAGTGGTTATGTACAAACTCTTATCAAAAAAACACCAAAATCATACATTGCATATAAATTTAGTATTTTAATCTATTCTGTGCACCACCCAAACAGTAAAATTAGAAAGAGTCTTAGAGATACTCTAATTAAATGAGGAAACTGGAATCTAAAAAAGTGAAGTGACTTGCCAAGAACATACAGATAGTTGGAAGAGCCTAGAGTCTCTTTGATGAGGCTTCTTCCACTACTACACCATGAAGATCTGTACGCTCTGGCTGCCTCTTTGTCAGTCAATGAATACATCAAGGTGTGGTTGCTGGGAGAAGCAAGCAGACCTTCATAACCAGGATGGACTCCAATTAAAACCACTGCCAGTGTCAGTTCCTGGGCATGAAGCACTGGAGAGCTGAACAGCTGGTCTCCAAAGAACTCTAAGAGCCAAGAATAAGATGAACCATCTTGGGTGAAACCCTTGCTCTAGATAACACATTATCCGTAAGTCCATCCTGCAAGACTGTGAGAATGACCTTTTTTATAGAAGAGATGTTTAATGCTTATCCTATCAGTAGCAATAAAGTTTGAGAAATTTCAGTAAAGAATAATTGTTGTAGGAAAGGGGGAGTATTGTCCTATTTTTACATATTGACTAGATGACTGGGACAAGGTTATAGACCATGAACTTGAGGCAGGCCTGCAAAGAACAATTACGTCCTGACTTTGTGATGTGTAGTTTAATTCCAGCCATGCTCTCTCCTTGACAGTCTTCCTTCTTGATTTATAGTCATATGTATCAAGGAGACAGGACTAAAAGTCTAAAACTGTATGACTGATCTAAAATTAATTAGAATTCAAGGTGGGAGTTAATAACAAAAACTATTAAAAACCTAGCCAGGGACATATATGAAGGAAAAAATACATACGTTGTTATCAACATATTTTGTGTCAATTGCATTGGAAATCTGATTCATATGTTTTAATCTAATGTGCCAACCTCTGAATATTATTATATCCCCTTCAAGCCCAAGGCAGTAGTTATTTCTTGGATTTTATTTTAGGAAATGGCATTTGCCTGGTTTAACCATAGGCAGGTTACAGTCTTAGTGTTCAGGGTAAGGCTTGGCAGCACCTAACATATGGTATGTGATGGATTGCCCTATGTGTTGAGCAGCAAAGCGGCAACAAAAGGTAATTTGGGGAGAATCCATCGCACTTCATTTGGAAAACAGAGCTCTCTCTGTTGGAGCTAAGGTTAGTGGTTTGGATTTGCATGTGTTCCTGCAGTATTTTTTTTACATTGCTTTTGAATTGAAAATAAAAACAGACAAAAGGTCTGATGTCTAACCCAAGTAAATAAAACCTATGGGACACAAAGTAGCCAAAAACATGTTTTACTTATGTGACAAGCTAGTCACTTTGGCTATTAACTTTTAGGAAATTCAAAGAAATACATTTGAAAAAAGAGACATTTGAAAATAGGAACCTATTATTATTACAAGTAAGAATCTTCATGCAACATTCACATTAATAGGCTACTGATAAATGGCTTGAGGGAGAGGAAATCCCTGCATACCCAGGTATGCCCTCCATGTCAGCCTAAAGGACTGGTTCGAGTGCTTCGAGTCCCCAGACCCAGGAGTCTTTGATTTTAAACTTCCTTTCCTTCTGGTGCAGCAGCAAAGGTGCCATCCAGAAAGCCCAGAGTTTCTGAGTACATATGGGGTACCCAGGAAGTCCAATGTGCAATGTACCAGCTGCCAGGGGAGGTAAGCAGGTGTATGCTATGGAACAGCACTAGGTCACCCGTCCCTGTAGCATACAGAGGGAATTACCACCCCTGCAACTGCCCCACCTAACATGGCCATCTGTTCACCACCAGCCAGTGCTACCAGTCATTTCAGCTTAGAATAACATTTCAGGTGTTTCTCAGCTGTAGCTGAGCTGGAAGCTGCTTTCTCCTGCCTCAGACTCTTGTTCTTTTACTTTCCTTGTTCCACTGCCTGACTTTTTTTTTAAAAAAAAAAGCAACTTCCATTTTTCTTTTTGAGACTGCTGCTGCCCTGTTTCTATTAACTTTTAATAATGAAGTACAAGAAACCATTAAGATTTGTCTCGCTTTGCTTTTACTCACCAGTCTCTGTGACAGTTGATTGGGCTGCATGAATGTGTGATCATGAATGCACAAAGCAGCACAAATCCAGTCTGGATTCATAAACTGCCCATACCTTCTTCAATCTTTGTTCTCCTGATACAGGAAAGAGCATTTGGAAAGAACCTGCTTCACAGTTTCTGAGTGAAAGGAACAGGGCCACCTGAAACAAACTAAGAGGAAAGACAAACTTCGGGCTTCCTGGAAGGGGCAATGTGGTGTGGACTGAGAATGGGCTCTGAAATCAAACTTTGGTTTAAATATTCACATTTTGCTAAGACCCTATCCAAGAGGCATAATATCACAATGTCACAGTTTCACATGTCATGAAAAGGAAGTCATGACATCTAGCCCATAATGCTTGTGAGAGGATTGAATGAGAATATATACGTCGCCTGTGTAGCATAGTGCCTAGCATGGAATAAGCAGTGTTTGCCTACTTCTTTAATTATGAAATACTACTCAGATCTCCTTTCCATCACAGGCAGAGGGCAGAATCGATGAGACAGGCCTTCAGAGCTGACCAACTCCCTTTCAGAAAGAATGTGATACTGCAGATGCAATAGCCTTTGAGTAGCCTAAAACACCTTCTTAGCCATTGTAAAGCAGGAGGATCCATGGGCTGCCCTAAATTTACATGCTGAACATATCTTCCCCACTGGAAGCTTACTGAGGAAGGATGGTGGCAATAGCATAACAACAGAGGGGAGAGACTAGTCCAGGTATCATACGTACAACTACATACACGCTCAGAGCATGCCCAGTACCTCAGGAGGACCAGAGCAGATAACACAACACCTTGTAGTCATTTAATGCTTGCTGTTACTGGCTTTGAAAATAAGTTCAATTTGACAGTTATTAATATCTGCTATAAACCTACTGTTCAAGGTAGCTGAAAGGACTTTGTCTGATTTATTTATTTATTTATTTATTTATTTTTTGAGATGGAGTCTCACTCTGTTGCCCAGGCTGCAGTGCAGTAGCATGATCTTAGCTCACTGCAACCTCCACCTCCCGGGTTCAAGCAATTCTCATGCTTCAGCCTCCTAAGTAGCTAGGATTACAGGTGTGTACCACCATGCCTGGTTATTTTATTTTATTTTATTTTTTTTTTTTTTTGGTATTTTTAGTATAGAGACAGGGTTTCACCATGTTGGCCAGGCTGGTCTCAAACTCCCAATCTCAAGTGATCTGCCCATCTCGGCCTCCCAAAGTACTCAGATGATAGGCATGAGCTGCTGTGCCCAGCCAGCACTTTTATGTCAGGAAGTAGGCATAATATAGACAAGAAATTTAGTATCTTGCAAGTTCTGTTCACATGTTTAATATAGGAAGCTATTTCAGATCCTACCTCAACTTTTAAACTGATCTAGTCTGCTCAGTTTATATTGTGTTTCCAAAACAACAAAAACAGCCTCTCCTACTTTGTGTCAAAAAGCATCAAAAGCATTTTATTTATATGTAATATTTCAGCTTACCAACAGCACTCTGAAGTGAGCAGCACTATCCCCATTTAACAGGTTAGGAAATTGAGGCCCAGAGAAGTTAAGTAATCTTTCGGAGTCACAGAGTCAGCTGTGAAGGCAGGATTTGAAGTCCCCTGGCTCAAATGTGCTCTAAACCCCCGTGTTCTACCCATCAAGAAGTTCAAGTCACTGTTGTTCAACCGTCTGTAGTGGACCAAGATTTTCCTATCATCACAAAAAGATACACTCAGGATTATTAGTAAATAAAGTGCTTTGAAAATGGTCATTGGTGCCCACAGCACAGTGAAAGGTAGAAGAGCGCCATGAGAAAGCATTAGCCTTGAAGACATGAAGCAGGAGCTGTAGCCCTAACATGGTTTTTTCCTAGTTGTGACATTGCATCCACTACTTCTCATCCCTAAGCCTTGTTCCCTCACCTCATAAAATTACCATCACAATCAATGCAGTAATATAGCTGAATCTGCTTTCTTATTCTTAAGGCTCTAAGCAAACGTCAGCTACACTATTATAGTTCAATTCTTTTCAGTTCCACTATTGGCTTGCTCTTGAATCTTGAAAAATCTCTCCTGACATCTTAACTTTCTCATCTATAAACTAGAGCTGCTGATACAGCATCTTTTAGTAATACCCTCCAGCAGCTGTTTCTAAACTTTAGTGACCTAGAATCTTTTAAGATACTGTTAAAAAAGATTCCTGGGCCACTGTCATTATGCCCAGCACAGCTGAATGGCACCTTGCAATACTCAGGTTTGGAAAGGACCCCACTTGATTCTGATGTAGGTGAGCTGTGACTACTTTCTGAAAAAATGCTGCCCTGCAAGCTCAATATTACAAAGAACTGCAGTATCTGTGGATACAGAACTTGACCAAGATCACTTTCTCAGTCCATAACACAGCCAGCACTGAACCCTTAACTCCCAATATCTAGGATCCTGTTCTTTCCACCCCATGAGTCTGACTCAAAGGAACATCAAAGCCATCTCTTGGTCACTGGGTTTATATCAAGGGTTGGATCCTAGAGTACACAGCTGAAGCTTGCAACACTCAAAAGACATCTCTAAAAGAATGAGTGTCATTGACTTTCTCTTCTTTCTCTGCAGACACGTTTGCCAGCAAAGTGGCAGCCACCCAGGACCAGTATGCAGACGCCTCCATAGGTAACGTCACGGGCAGCAACGCGGTGAACGTCTTCCTGGGAATCGGTGTGGCCTGGTCCATCGCTGCCATCTACCATGCAGCCAATGGGGAACAGTTCAAAGTGTCCCCTGGCACGCTAGCTTTCTCTGTCACTCTCTTCACCATTTTTGCTTTCATCAATGTGGGGGTGCTGCTGTATCGGCGGAGGCCAGAAATCGGAGGTGAGCTGGGTGGGCCCCGGACTGCCAAGCTCCTCACATCCTGCCTCTTTGTGCTCCTATGGCTCTTGTACATTTTCTTCTCCTCCCTGGAGGCCTACTGCCACATAAAAGGCTTCTAAAGGAACTATCAGATATAGTAAATTTATATATATATACATATATATACATAAAAATTATGTATAACGGACAGAGGAAACTGACATTTGTCATGTTCACTTACCTGCTGATGGAATCCAGCTTCAAGAGCATACTCTGTACTAGGGTCGAAGTCAAAAACCATCACCTCCCATTCCCAGGGGCATCATCATGTTGAACAAGGCATGGAGGCAGGGCCATCTTTGCAGCTCGGTCTAGAAGGGCTGCACTCTCACCAGGTTCATAAATCCTTCAGGCTTTGATTTGTTTTCTTGTTTTTGATTTTGTTTTCAGTGGGGCTGGGGAGGTAGTTAATGTTTGGCTTTATTTTTGTTATTTTGTTTTGTTTTGTTTTGTTGGGAGAGTCAGGGTTGTTGCTTTTCTTCGTGGGAAGTGAAACCATCCACATGTAAATGGGTTTTGGTAAAAATTTAAATCATTAATATTCTCCCTCACCTCCCCCAATCACTTTAAAACTTATTTTGGATTAAGAAAAAAATCTGGGCATGGAAGAAGAAAGAAGCATGTCTTCATTGTATTACCAAAGTTCATGCTTATCTCCGGAATGTGAGCAGAGGTGAAGCTGCCTCCAAGAAGAAGCATGAGAGTGGAATGGAGCCAGGAAATCTGATGGTTCTAGATATAGTCTGGTATTTAAAGATGTGATACCCGGCACTCTCGTTTAACAGGTACAAGGAAAACGTGCCTAGATTCCCAGAAACATTCGAAATCCTTTCTTTCTTATCTCATTAGCTCTGGACTGTGATTAGCAAGGTCCTTCTTCCAGCATCCAGCCCAGCTAAGCCCCCAGGTGCCCCATCCCAACCCTGTTCCTTCTGTCCACCTGCCATCCCCTATGCAAACAGTGAGAATAACCTCATTCAAAAAACACATCATCATTTTCCATTTGCATTAATATGTGTCCCAGTCCCATGTTGCTGTTGCTTGGGATTGTCTGTCAGTTTTATTTTCAAAGGCATCCATGGCTTGCACAATCTTGTTCCAGCCATGACTGAACATTTGCTCCTTGTTCATGTGCCTGTTCGGAAATGTTGTTGTGATAACCTGTTACACAGTGCATGGTGAAAAACAAATAAAACAAAGAGTATCTGTATATAGTAGAGTATAGTACATACTATTCTCCCATTCGGCAATGTTGATTGGACATTGAAGACATAAGTGAGTTTTCTTTTCACCTGAGTTGTTACTTTTGTGTTGTTATTGAGTTTGATTAATTACTAGGGATAAAAGGAGAAAACGGCTTATTGTTCATGGTTCTGCACATTCATTTCTAAGAAGCAATAACTGTCATGTGGGGAGAAGTTAAAGTTATTGAGAGGATAGCAGGCAAACTACAAAGACCTTAATGGAAAATTAGCCATGTGGAACACATCAGAGGCCTCTAAAAATCACCCATTAATTCAGGAAGGCCAAGGAGAAAGGCCTTATAGAGGCGTGGGTATGTTGGATGTGCCTAGGCTTTCAGAGCCACCCTTTCCACCACACCCCTCCCTCCAAAGTATTTATTTCCCATCTGCACTGTCTGGCACAGATGGTAGATAGTGCTGGTTTTTTTTTTTTTGGTTTTTTTTTTTTATGTAAAAGGCTATTTTGAGCCCTGTTTCTTTCAATGTCCAGTCTAGTCCCCTTTGATTTTATCAGTAGTTCCTGAGTAAGAAAAAGAAGCCAGGGTGACCAATGGGCCTTTAAAAGTGTGTCTCCTCTACTTATGCTGAAAGAGAAGGCAATTAAATAAGATTAGTACCTCCCAGGAGGATTGGACTGGGATGTTTTTAACCCTTTAAAAAGAATAGCTGTTTCTATGTTGAAATACCAAAGAACATGGATAAACCCAACATTCCAAAGTAGTGAGTCCACTAATGAGAAAAAAAAATAGAATTTTGGTCACCTCTTGGAGGCTTCTGTGTCTATAAGGAATCCCAGGCTGGATTCAACCCTAGCCCTCTGTATTGATTCAAAAATACTTAATAAATTAAATCTGTTGAGACTTATTTTTTCTTCTTTCACTCAGTAACCATGATCCATCATTTAATAAACATTTGGTGACTGAATGAGGAATTAAATGCTGGTTACCCACTTAATGTGCCAAGTAGTGTGATACTTTCTGGGGACTAAGCCATGAACAAAACAGTCTAGATCCCTGCCCTCAGAAGGGTTACAGTTAATGCGATTACTATTTTCGTGAGTAAAAGTGAAGGAAGCCATATGGAAAGATTTTTATCTTGTAAGAACAAACAATTATGAAACTCTTTTAACATAAACACACTGAAACTGTATCAAAGCAATTGTCCAAATTGTATTTATACCCAAGATTTTCTTTAACTACGAGAGCCTAAAGCATATGTTTGGAAAAGCACCCTCTTTATCCTTGACCAACTTGCAGATAAATACATCTCTCCATTTTAAACGAAGAAGGGCAATCATGTTGGTGATCCAGATCACTGAGAAGGCCCAATGTATCCCATCTTTTATCTTTGTTGGCAATAGAGCTTTTCTATGGCCCACACTTTACAATTCTTTATTTGTCATTCTAATCCATCCTTCCCATCCTTTTTTCTTTCTTTGAGAACTGCTAAATGGAAAGCTAGCCTGGAAGCACCAAGTAAATATATTCAAGGAATATAAGTTGTTTAAACATTAGAAAAATTTTTGCACTCATTTTTTAGCTGTATTAGGAATGTCGATAATCCTGTAGCAAATTTTCACAGAGAACTTTTAAGAAATTCTTGCATTGGTCAATTTCAATTTGAAAGCTTTTTGGTTTGTTTGCTTTTAAAATTTTCATGTTCTAGGAAACTATGATTCTGGTTGTTCAGGATTGTTATTATTATAGTTGTGTAAAATTATTTGTTTATTTTGTGTGTATTGTGCACAGCTTTAGGGGGGGAAGTGCACAAATTGTGCTGTTCCTTATAAATGGTACACATTACTGACACAGACAAATAAAATTTCTAATTGTTTCTGATTTAATCACTAGTGATACAGCATATTCTGTATGGAATGTTTTCTCTTTTCTCATTGTCATCTACTTCATTTTTTGTTTTCATGTTTTGAAGAAATAAAAACCAAAATGGTATTATTGTGCAATTGGTATCATCATCCAAAGAAAAAAAGCAAACACCAAGTATTCAAACTCTTGCAAACGTCAACCCTCCGGTCATGCAATGTTCTCTTTTTAATGTCCCGAGAGAACACAGTGTCAGAATATTTGTTTGTCCTACAGTGCTGAGATAAATGTTGGACATTCCTCCATTTCACTGATTTTTTTACATTATTTAGTACCACTCTATCTACATCCTTTCTTGCATCCAAGATCATAAGCCCATAAACAGCTACATGTCAGACAATGTGTTAGCATGCAGAGTATTACATCAAATCAGTCGATCCCAAAAAATTCCAATCCCAAAATTGATGGTAGTAGTTTCTTCCCCAAGGGAATGCTTAAGTAAATTGTTCTTTTAGTTTCATATGTTATATTCCTCTTGGTTTGCAGAACTTCTGCCTTGCGTTAATAATTCCTGTCTAAATATATGTTATTGACTTCATGTATCATATAGTCAAAAGAGTATAGGAGGATGTGACATCAGAAAAGGAATAAGCATTTGTGGGGGAAAAATGTGACCTCTAAGATTTGTGTACTTATTTGAAGTCGACATTAGTATTAGTGGACTTAGTTCTTACTATAATAGAATCTGTCCACATGTACAAGTAAATGCTACTTTATTCATCTGATCATCTTTAAAATTTTCTTTAGTATTCCTCATTATATTCTTATGTGGTCATATATGATATACTTTCATGTATGAATGAAGGCACTATTTAAATATTTTATTGCATCAAACTATCAGTATGTCTCTTGAGTACCAGCCTTTGGTTTAAAACAAAATGAGCAGCCAACATCTATTTCTTTAAACAGCAAAAAGAATAACTCAATGACCAGAGTTCCTTGACCATCTAAGAACCTTTCAGAAAGATTCTGTGACTATAATTATCAATTTCTTATAAGCAAATTTTAATGGGTTCAAATTTTCCAATTCCATCCTTCAACCAGTGAGGGTTTTATAAAATTTTGCTTTTTGTATTTCATAGCCTAATGGCACTAATTTTTTGTTGCTTTTCAACATAAAATTGTTACAAAATATTGTTTCAGAAATCCTGCAGCAAAGATTCTGATGCATGCCTTCCCCCTGTGGCCTCACTATTAATGAAAGCTCACCATTCACATTGCATTTTCCGCAGGGGTCTTGATTCATTGGTGATTCCACAGCAAAAGGTCCCTGATCCTAACCTGTCAAAATATGCCAGTGAGACTGGCATACATCTGATAACTTTGTGGAAGCAATTAGAAAATTTTCTCTGGTAGATGATGATGCCCTCCATCCTCTAACAGTGGCAGAACTTTGCCTTCTCAAGAATATAAATCAGCCCCTTTAAGACTTCTTTTAATATTTTTGGGCTCAGGGTATGGAGTCTCTCTGTTGATTCTGACTTTCTGACTATGATTTTGGGCAGCTGCATCCAGAGCAAGTTCTGAGTGTAGTTTCATAACTTCAAGAACATTTGGTCATTTTATGATTGACAACATGTAATATTGGATCTCACCCTGACCTACAACTGGCATTCAGCTTTTATCATTGTAATCATTTCACTTGGCCAAGGCAGTTGGTAAAACTCAAAGTTAAATATCAATTCCAATCATTAAATTGGTGAGTGCATTATGCAAAAGATACAGAATCCTATTTCAGAAAAAGACATGCTATTTGTAAGTGGAATCCTTAGATTTTGTTCAGATATACCTACAGTTTTGCTAATAGAATGCAGTCCTGCTATTCCTTTTTACTTTTATGTACTTACCACTTCTAACCATCTCATTGTCTTCCCATCACGCAGTACATTTTGAAATGTTGGGCGGTCCTGATGGTATTACATCCACAAGGACAGCATGGGAAGGGTAAACAATTGAAATAGATAGTTTATGTTGGGAGCTTAATTAGGCCATGATTAATCGTCTCTCAAAGCAGAGACTGTCTTATCTATAGAAGGAGCAACCACTGAGAGGTGGAACTCCCAAGGGAAAAAGCGCGCAGGTTTCCAGCCCACAAGAAATGGTAAGTATTTTACTTTCTTTGACTTTTTCCCTGCCTGTCAAGATGTCCAAATGTACTCAGAGGCTGTCCACATTTTCAGTTTTGTCAAAGGTTATCTGATTTAATTTCGTAAGAAACATTTAAATCAGTGGTTATGTAAATTATTTATTTTGTTTTATTTTTAGGAAAGAGCATTATTTTACAACTTCAAAAAGCAATATGAGTTAGTAGTTAAAATTATGACCCATATTTTTTCAGGAAGACTTGCTTGCCCAAAATTGTCTTATCTATCTGTTATCAATGCAGTCATTCATAGCTGCTTCAGTGGTTCACATTTTTTAGAATCATGCTTCTCTAGCCTTTTTTTCAAAGAGTTGGAGAGTTTTCCCCTTGGGAATAGGCAATCTTAATCTTTCCTTTCCCTAATTTCAGCCTTTGCAGTTCTTCGATGGCTACTCCTGTTATATACAACTACCCTTAGTGATGCTCACTATTACCTCTTGGCAATAGGGAAAAGTCTTATGCTATAAAATGATTGCTCAAGACATGTTTTCTGAAAGCGAACTTATCATAGGAGAAATCAAATATAATGACATTCCACCCAGGTAACAGTCACTAGGACATAGTATGGAATTTTTTATAAATAAGCGAGACCAATTAAACCCTACAGTTATACACTACAACAGTGTTGTTTATTTTATACCTCTTGAATCATATTTATTATGCTTCAGTGCCCATCGACCTAGCCTTCTATTCTATCAATATATGTGGGTGTGGATTGGGAATGAGAACCAACATTCACATCCCTGATGCTCATGAGAGCTTCTACAAAGGTGGAGTATGTAAACCTAGAAAAACGTAATATATAGCTTCCATGCCTCTAAGAAATATGAGTGGGTCAAATGCTTCTCTGTGGGTATTATTTTTCTGATATGCAAATGGTAGAAAATTTCACATTAATAGCCAAACAGACCAAGAGAGAAATTAGCCAACTTCAGTGTTAATCTTTCTACTTTGACAGTTAATAACATAGCCCAGCCCTCCTAATTTGTTGACTGCAAAAACAGATATACCTAGTTAATTACTAGAATAATTATACAACCCTCCATACTGGAAATTGCTTATTCACCGAGAAGAATCCTGCCCAGAAATTTTCAGAGACATTTCCTTACATTCCCAACTTCTTTTAATTTACACAACTTTTTATGAGACCCCTTGAAGCCACATAGTAAAACAAGAGATGAATTATCTAAGGAGAACTTTTGGCCCTGCCTCTAATGTGAAGATCTGATACTTGATTCTGTTTCCCATTCTTTCCAAACAGAAAGAACAGTTCAATTAAGTAACCAACTATGTAACCACTTTTTGACATAATTCCACCTAAAAAAGAAAGAGTGAACTAAATTGTACAAACATTAAACAGTGATATGATCCAGATGGCTAGTTTTGAGAAAAATAATATTTTCTGTAGATACCTTGCTCTCCCTTCCTGAACTAATCCTAACGCTCAACTTTGAGAAATACTCCAAGGAAGAAATCTTGAAAGATTGTACATTCAAATAATGCTCATGTAATTGAGTAATATGGCATTTGGGGTGAGAATTTTCTGTGTTGTTCATAACAGCATATTTAAAAACAAGAGAATTGGCACAAAAAATGTGTTAACTAGGATTTTGCTACAAATTGCCCTAAGATATATGAAAGTTATATTTAAGTGAAAGAAATCCCAGTTTCCAGAAACAGTACAATTTAAATTTATATTCTCAGATTTTATATGAAAATCAAAGTTGAGCATACATACTTTTTGGCTTTGACAACCAAAGAAAAATATGTTTTTGGCACATGTTTCCAAATTATTATTTTGTAGAATACATTGGACCTATACAGGTATCTCATTAAAATTACCTTCAATAATTTCCCTTTCTTCAAGCCATAAAGTTTCTAAATTTTACAACTTGGCAGTTTAGCAATTTCATTTATGAAAGGCTGATTCCATTTTGATGTTGATTTTTACATTTCAGAATTTTTCATATGTAAATAATTGATACATTAGATGGGATACTGAGCTTGAGTCTTGCCCAAATGAACCAAAAGGCCAAGACTGATCTATCAGTAGTCAGAAGGCCTCTGATACACTGGCTTTTTAATGCACAGCAAATACTAGTATTGTTTTCAATATTCTTTGACTAAAAGTTTCCATTGCAACTGGTGCAAAAATTTTAAAAAAGATTTACAATGACAGTTAGAAAACTGTTTCTGTGAGGATCAGACATTTTGTCAGCATTACATCTTCTCCATCCCCTCTCTTGCTAGAGCCCAGAGACACACATGTAAAAACAGGTGATCTCTGTAAACTTCAGCTGCGTTTTTGTATGTCTAGGATTGTCCTAAAAGCTCCTATCAGGTTAGTATCCGGTATCTTTTGAGAAAGACTTGGAGAGGTATGGAAGGAAGTATATTCCTGATTTCCCTACTTTTTAGCTAAAAATACAAATCCAGAGTTGTTTGAAAAGGGCTTAGAATAATATTAATTAAACATATTCTGTAATACAAAGAGAAGTATTTTTTTTTTAATAGATTTTTCTTTCTTTTTTAGCAAGCATTTCTGACAGAAAATTTTTTGGGCCAATTAGAGTTTCTTCTGACTTTTAATTGCCCTCTGCCTTTAGGGAAAGTGTTGAAAAAAGGTCTTGAAAAAAATATGCTGGTCAAGGTCAAACCCTGGGGGATTAAAAACATGAGATTTTTATATTTTCCCTCCAAACATAGCACTGAGCAGGCAGGTTACCATGCCTGCTGTTAATCGGCATTTTCTAAACACGTGTTTTGGCGTGCTGGGAGCAGAGGAGTAGGAGACCCACCCAGTCCCACCACACATACCTG